GGAGCATTCCACCACGCCGGAGCCCCGCCTCCCACACCCGGCCGCTCTGGAACCCGCCGTGCGAGCCCCACGGGCCCACGCCCCTCGGGACCGGGTGGTGCCACCCTGGTGCCAGGCGGGCCATGGGGTAGACGCCAGGTTTCCTGGCAGCAAAGTCCTCGGCTCCCCACCCAGAGACAAAGCGTAAAGACGAGGGATTCTTTGTTTCCGGCCACACCCAGGGACAGCTCAGCCCCCGCCGTTAATCCTTCCAGGGCCACAGCCAACGGGGGCGCAGGTGACACTATTTTTAGCTGCGGTGAGGAATGGGCGGGGCCCCTCATCATGGCGCTGCCTCTAGGTCCGGACTTCCACCCCCCCCCCTTTATGGGCAGGGAGCGGAGCTGGCGGTCCATCTTTTTCCTTTCTCTGTCGCAGAAGAAACTCGCCGGCGAGGGGCGAGCGCGGGAGGCCACGCGCGAGGCGAGGCTCCAGGGCCGCGGAAGGGGGTCCCACCCGCGCCCCTCCCTCTTTTGTTCAGCTGCGCACCTCCCAGGCCACGCCACCCTCTCGCTGCTGGCACATCCCCTGGGGGGAGGGGGCTGCCAGCCCAGGGACCCGAGGCTCCAGCCCCGCCCCCCATGCGGGGCTCCCCCTGTCAATTGTCCCCAGAGGCTGGGGGAGGGGGTTTGCAATGCGAGGCCGGCCCCGCCCCACCCGCCGCGCTGCAGAGAGCCTCGGGGGGCGCCCCTGCCTTCCCAGGGGGATCCCGACCCGGGCGGTGACCACCCCCACCCCACAAAGGACGGCGGGGCGGGGCGGCCCGACTTACCGTGAGGTGCGGGATGCTCTTCTTGCCCTGGTAAGACATGGCCCCTCCGGCGCCCTCAGCCCGCGGCTGGACCAGGGGGCTGTCTTGGGCTCTGCCCGGCTCTCTTTGGGTCCCGCTCCCCGGGGGCGCGGGGACAAAGCGCAGGAGGAATCAAGAGAGAGACGGAGGCTCCGCACCCGGGGCTCCCGACGCGCCCGCCGCCCCGGCTCTTGGCCCGACGCCGCGCCGGCTGCCAGCGCCGCCCGGCTCCGCTAGCGGGCGAGCGAAGGGGGCGGGAGGAGGAGGGCGGGCGAGGGCGGGAGGAGGGCGCTGCAGACAGACAGCTCCTCCCGGCGGCGCGGCCCAGCCCGATTCGCCCCTCTCGGCTGGAACCAGGAAGCGCTTCCCTTCCGATTCCTGCACTCCGCCCCCGCCCCGCCGACCGCCGGCCCCAGACCCCCGCCCCGAGCGCGCGCCCTCGGCGGCGCCCAGCCTCGCTCTCGCTCTCGCTGTGGGGAAGGGCTGGCTGGCAGGTTCTTTTAAGAGCCAGAAGCGGCCTTCCGATGCCAAGGCAGCGCCAGCGGGCAGCGCCGCCCCAGCTTCTTGCCGGGGGGGGGGGGGTGCCCAGGACCCGCCCACGCTGCAGAAGCTGCCTAGGCCCTCCAGGACCGGGCTCAGAGACCGGCCCCCTCCTGCCTCTCGCACCCAGGCTCCGTTTGCCCACACGCCGCTCCCTGAATAGACCGAACACCTTCCCATCTCCAACTCCAAGCCTCTCTTCAAGCTGCACCCTCTCCCTGATAGTCTGCCGCAGACAAAAGCCTACCCGTTCTCCCAGACGCATCTCCAGTGGCATCTCCGTAAAGCTTTCCCCAGTCACCCTCCCTGCCCCTCCATCTTTGAACCAGCCCCCTGAGGTCTCAGCAAGGGGCCTCCTGGGGGCAGGGGTGGAGAGAGTGTAGGGGCACTGAGAGACAAGGTCCTAATTAATGGCTGACCTGCTCTACCCCCTGCATCACGGGAGCCATCAATGCCAGGCCACCAGGTCACCACCACAGCCTTGCCCACCACACCGTGAGAGCTCGGGGGGCCAGACCATTGGCACTGAGGTCCCCACACCCCTAGGACAGACTGGGAGGTGGGAGGAGGAAGGGGACACCCTGACTCCTCGGGGAGAGGGGACGCTAGCCCCAGCACCCACGACCCAGAACTGCTCCGAGGACAGGTGGACGGGACCCTAGGGCCGAGCTTGACAAGCTTAATGACAAGGAAGGACAACCGAGGTAAGAGGGAGAAAAACGGGGACCCCAGCAAGCCCCCACCGCACTGGTCAGGTGGTCCCAAATCTCCAGGCGGAATCAAACGCCAGCCTTCTCTGCCACGCACTCTCTGCCTGTAAAACCCCCACCTGCAGGTGCTGCAAAAAGACCCACCTTCTTTACTTTCAAGCCTGCACCCCCCAGAGGGAGGGTGTGCAGGGCATGTGAGGGCGCCCACCATGCAGGCTGGGGCCTGAGGCCCTCACCTGCACCACCACCCGAAGGCCAGTCCTCCCGTCCAGGACAGGAGGCCAGAGAGGCCTGGGCCTAAACATGGAGGCGGGACTGCAGGTTGAGGAAGGAGAAGCAGCTCAGCATTCCGCGAACACTAGGCCATAATTCTCCCGTCTTTCGGGGAGGGGTGGGGGCTGGCAGAGGGGACGCATCTCAGGAGCAGAGGCTGTGGCTGTGGCAGAGCCGCATCTGGAAGCCCGGTTCCTGCACCCCTGGGCTGGAGCCCCTTCATTCCCCTGCACTCATTCCTTCATCTCTGCTCTGAGCCGGGTCCTCCTAAATCCTTGGTGATGACCGGAAATTGTGAGTGCGGATGCTCTCCCTCCGACACCTACATATCGCCTCCCTTAAGGTTGTCAAGTCCTAGGTCCTACCACCAGGGCGTCTGCAGGGGTCAGTCTGGGCAGGGATGCTCGGAGGCTGGGGACAGGGCCACGTGTGTATCGGGGGAGGGGCGCCGGTCCGCGATTGGCCAAACAGACAGCTGCTCCCAAGCAGACTTCCAGGGTACAAAGCCCCGCAGTAGCTCAGCCTTGGGCCTCGGGAAACACTGCGCGTGCGCCGCAGAAATCCCTCCTCCCTCCCCAGGGAAGAGCTTCGTGGGCGGGGTGAGAGCTCGCACCCTCTACGAAGCGCCGGGGCTCCGAGGCCTGCCCCAGAACCAGAACGGAGCCCCGCGGCCGCTGAGCCCGCAGAAAGGAAAGCGCTCCCCCCAGGGAGATGGCGAGGCCCTCCCGGGCTCCGCAGTCTGGACCGCGAGTGCGTCCGGAGGGCTCCGCGCCCCCGAGGCGCCGCCTTTTGTCCTGTCCCGGAGAAGCCGTGGAGAAAGGGGAGTGGGCCCCGGTGAGCGGGGGCGGGGAAGGGGGGAGGCTGCGGAGTCGGCCCTGGCGGCGCTGGGGGCGATGCTGCCGTGGGCTCACACTGACCACAGCCCCGTCCGGGACTCGCTTCCAGACAGCTCCCCGCCCCGCACAATGCGCCTTCCCCTCCCTGAAAGTCCACCGCGCCTTGACGAGGACCTGGAGAAAATACCACCCTTATTTCACATATGGAGAAGCTGAGGCTCAAAAGGGAAAAGTGCCACGATTGGAAGCCAGGGTTCCCCGGCACGGACCTTGGCTTCTCCAGCTGTGGCCCTGAAGCCTCCCTTTTGGGCTCGGAAGCCTGGGTCCCAAGTAAGATCGTCCACCAGAGAAGCAAAGTGGGCAGGGGAAGAAAAAAAGTGGTTAAAAAAAAAAAGGAAGGGAGATTCTCTCGATATGGCTTTAGCTGGCCCCCACCCCTTTGCACCCTCTCAGTGGAGACCTTCCCTTCGCGGGGCGCGGGTTCAGCACCATGGAGAGCTCCCGCGTTAAGAGGGCGGAAAGTCTCCAGCGGGGGTAGGGGGCAGAAGGAGGCTCGCGCCTGCGCTGTAGCAGCCACAAGCCTGCCTACCCCGACTCATTCAGGAAGCCCTCCCAGGTTTCTGCCCTGATCCAGCTCTGCCTCCTCCTGGCCGGCTCACTTCAGGCCTCTCACAGCATTTCAGGGGAGAAAGGTGAATAAAATGATGATGATAATAAAACTCAACAATGGACAGCTATTGAATGCTCACCGCCTACTTAATTCTCACAATGAACCTGGCCCGGTGGTTGGGGTGGGGATAGGGTGCTGAGCCAGGATGCCCGCACCCACCCAGGGTCTGGGACCAGAGTGTCGCTCAGAGATCTGATTCTGGGCTAAGCCTACAGGACGCCGGCCTTCGGGTGTCCCCACTTCCATTCTCCAGACACTTGGCTCTCACCCTCACCCGTATATCCCAAAGCTGCGCCCCCCTACCCATCCCCCTTCCCCCGGTTCCCTAGCAACCTCCAGCTGCAGGGAGAAGAGCCACGGAGCCTGAGGTCTGGCTTCCTTATCGTGATGCCTTCCCACTTTGGGGGCGGGGAGGGGGGTCCAAGACGAGGAGGTCAGTGACTCGGGGTTCAAACCCCCACTCTGCCTCCAGCGTGCTCTGGAGCGCACTGAAGTGAGCTCTCTGGCACCGTGCCGTGGGACTCCGGAGCAGCCCTTGGAGATGCCGGTGCTTGGGGGTAAGTGGTTTCCAGTTCTACCTACATCCTTATCCAAGTCCTTCCCGCGGAAAGCACAAGGCGTGAGGCTTCTTCCAGCCGTGCGCTGTGCGGCCACAGACAGACCACTGAACCCGCCCCAGAGCCTTGCACATAGTAGGCGCTCTGAAGCTACTAGTGAGCGAAGGCGTGAATAAATGGACCAATGCGGAACCGAGCTGCCCTTTTCATAAAGCAGAGAAAGAGCATACCCGCCTTAGAGTCACCCCAAAGGTCCCTTCGCGTTTTCAGGGTTCTTGTGGCAGCTTAGCCAACTTACTTCCCCTCTCAGAACCTCGCTCTTTTTGCACAAGAGAAGGGGACCTGGATCTGGAAAGACCTTTTGCAGTCTCGCGGACTCTACTGGCCACTCCTGACCCAGCCGCACAACCTCTCGGAACCCCGCGACGTTGGAGTGGGGTGGGGGAGGGGCTTTCTGTCGCTCGCCCCAGCCTGCTGGCTGCGGCCCGGGCACTCAGGCCTCGGCGCTGCCCCCGGGAGACCCCACTCCCAGCGGCCCCGAGGGCCCCGCCTCCTCCGTCCGGCCCACGCGAGCCCCGAGGGTACCTGGCCATTGTCCCGGCCGAGTGGCAGGTCGCGGGGCGCGGGGCAGCGGATGCGTAGCGCAGGCGGCCGCTCGTCGCGCTCGCCGGGGGAGCTGACGGCTGAGCCTGAGGGCTCGCTCACGTCGCTGGCCGTGTCCTCGCTGCCGCCGGGGCCCGGCAGGCCGACGGCGTCCAGCCGGCCAGCACTGCGCGGCGTGCGCGCCGAGCCGCGGCGGCCCACGCTGTACGCGTCGAAGTCGATGGTCTTGTTCTCGTAGGCGCCCTCCACCGCGGCGAACATGCCGCCGTACTTCTGGCGCGGGGTCTGCGCCGCGCTGCCCGGACGCGCCAGGTACACGGGCAGGTCGTCCTCCGTGTTCCACGCGCGCCGCCGGTCCGCCATGCCGGTCCGAGACCGGCCGCCCGCCTGCTCGCGGCCCTCGCCGCCGCCGCGCTCCGCGCTCCGCGCTGGGTGCGGGCCCGCGGCGGCCCAGGCGCGACTGCGGCCCGGGGCCGGGCGGGGCGGGGCGGGGCGGGCGCGCGGCGGTGGGGCGGGGCCGAGGCGGGGCCTCCCGGCGGCTGGCGGCGAGCGCAGCGGCCGGCTACAAAGGACCGAGAGGCGGGACCGCGGCGCGGGCGGGGAAGGACGGTGACGTACCCAAGCCGCAGCGCCGGGGGCGGGCAGCCGAACCGCAGCCCCCTCGCCGCCCCCCCTACTCCCCGCCCCCAGGCCGAGCTCAGGGCTCGGGGGGAACCGGGGGTAGGGGCCGCGTGCAGGAGGGCCACTCTCACGAGTCACACACAGGTCGGTCCTGGCACACCAGACGATTCTGCCGTGCAACACACGTGAAAGATGCACCAACATGATGGCGCGTATTCCGAAGCTATTACACACACACACACACACACACACACACACACACGGAAATTCTCAGTCGCCCTGCCCCACGCCCACGCAGCATCGCGCTGCAATTTATTGCCCAGCCAGACCAGACACTCACTGGCAACTGACACACGGCACACGGTATTCAGTCCCTCCACACTAGGGCCGTGAACGACCCCTGGTGCTGGGGGCAGCGCCGTGAGCAAAATAAACCAAGTCCTGCCATCCCGGAGCTGGCATTCTGAGCAGGAAGACCCACACACACAATGTGTAGCAGGAGGGATGGAACAGCAGGGCAAGAGAGGCAGGCTAGGAGCACATTGCCCAGACAAGGAAGCACACTTGTGCACGAGGGCCAGGGACTCACTCAAGAGAGGTGCTCCCTCCTGCCATAGCCACACCACAAAGCAATACTCACGCCCCTGCCCAAAGGCAAACTCATAGGGTGACTCCCCCACCTAAAGCCCAACAGAGCATCACACACAAATGCACACCAGAAATAGGGGAAGTGAGGAATTTAAATAGAAACACTCTAGGAAAAGACACTAGAGGTAGATCACCCCAAACACACACACACACACACACACACATGCACACACAGTCAGTCATCCAGACACACAAACATTCCCCACACTAGGGTTCACCTCTCAGAGCCCCAGGATAGCCTGTCTTTGCTCAGCCAGGAGCCTGCAGCCTGGAGGCCCAGCTCCTTCTGACCAGGGCCAGTGGAGGAGGCGTGGGTCTGGGGTCTCCCTGCTGCGGCTCCTCTGAATCCCTCTTCAAGGCCAGGAGCTGTGTGCGCCCGCTGGAAAACCGTCCTTGTTTCTCCATGACTATCATCAGGCAGAGGGGCCTAAGAGTCTCCGGGGAGCCTGTGGTCCCAGCTGCTCTTTCTGGACAGGTGGAATCACCAGCTGCCACCCCCTCCGCCACATGGGGGCCGCTGGGGGACCAAGGCCAAGAGCAGCGTCAGCACCTTCTGGCTCTGCAGGCCCCCCTCGCCCCACCCTCCACCCCAACAGCCTCATCCCTGCTGGGAGCTGTTCCTTCAGCACCAGCCCTCACAGCCTCTGTGAGTCCCAGCCAGACAGCAGCATTCACCTTCCTCTTGGGGGGGGGCTACAGATGAAGAGGGGGAGTGAGGAGGGGGGATGCTGGCCCCATGGCCTCAGCTGACACCCGTCTGCCTGCACTTCCTGGTATTTAACCCTACGCAGGCTGGCCTGCGCAGTAAGTAGGAGTTATTACCTCCCCGCCGAGCAGATGAGGAAACAGAAGGAGAGACTTCACTGCGGCTCAGCCAGGCCTGGAGCAGAGTGGGCCTTTAGCGCTTTTCTGTGCTGGAGAAAGTAGTGCTGGGGACACACAGATGAATAATTATAGAAAGCTCCTGTCTTCCAGAAGTATCTATTACAGTAGGAGAGAGAGTGCTGAACGTAAATCAGAACAGAGAACGCCATGACCAGCACCCCACCTCAACCCGCTCTCTCTACTCTCCCTGCCCCCACATTGGCCTCCTGCCTTTTGTCCCTGGGCACCCTGCACAGATTTGTCACAGATGGTCCTCTCGAGGTCTACAACACTCTAGGTGGCATTGCAAGTGTTTTCTTCTTTTGTATTTTCCCACTTAGGGCACATTGATTGATTTTAGAGAGAGCAGAAGAGGCAGAGAGAGGGCGAGGGGGAAATACCAATCAGTTGCTTCCTGCACGTGCCCAAACCGGGGATCAAACCTGCAGTCTATGGGTCACCCCAGGACGATGCTCCAACCAACTAAGCAACCTAGCCAGGGTGCATTGCAAGTGCTCCAACTTCTCAATGAAAACTCCTATCCTGTGAACTATTGTTCTCAGCACACCCTGGTCAAGGAAATGTCATGTTGAAGGCCACAGAGAAGCTTCCAAATCTCCACAGATAGAGTAACTAAATGCACAGAAATGGCAGAGAATCCAAGAATCAGAGTGTGATGGTTTCAGGGCTCATTCTATATGCCTGGCTCTGCTGTCAGCATCTTGAGGAGACTGCCTCTCGGGCCTTGGTTAAATACCGCTGGGGATGCAGACCTCACTGTGCTGCAAGAAAACCCTCTCCATTATTGTGAGAAAGGGCCTGGCAGTTGTCAATGCAGGAGGGAGCGACACAGGAAGGAGGAAAGGAAGAGGTGACTCCACGTAGGAGCGAGGAAGCTCCCACTTACGGGAGCTCACTACAGGCTGAGGACATTGTTGGCACGTCACATAGAGTAACTCCCAGCAGCCTTTGAGGTAGCTGTAGCTGTCAGGTAGCTGTCATTTTATCCCATTTTACAGATGAGAAAACTGAGGCTCAGGGAAATGAGTAACTTGCCTCGAGTCACAGCTGGTGAATGATGCCACTTAGGGATTAAAGCAGTGGTGTGGCCCTAGAGCTGCCCCTCATCCTGGGTCCTTTGGCCTCCCCCACAGAAGAGGTCCTGCTGAGAGAAAGGAGATAAAGGAATGGACCGGCCCCATCAGAACCGTCTAGATTTCTGAGTTAGAATCCTGTCCTCTGTGCAACACTGGGCAACTGATCGCACGGCACTCACCCAGCATGCACCAGGGGCGGCCGCTGCGCGACTGGCTGCTCTGGCTCCTGGCCACGCCTCGCTTCGCGCAGAGGGCAGGGGACCGCTGCCTGTGAGCTCTTTGGAATGTCGTTTATTTCTACACATGATCGTGTCCTGCTTCCCGGAGCCCGCGTGGCACTTCTTTTTCCAGAGTGCAGGGGATGACAAACCTCACACCTGCTGCTCAGGTAACTGCCCGGAAGTGGCCACACGGGTCACTCAGGTTGGTCTGAGTCCTTCGTACAACATCGCGAGGCCAGTAACCCCACGGTGCCAGAGGCAAGGGCAGGAAACAGGGCGTGGGGCAAAGGTTGGGAAATGGCCACCGCGCTGGCAGGGGGCCCAGAGGGCACAGCCAGGGCAGAGGCAACCGAGGAAAGAGCCCAGGACACATGCGCGAAGGCCACTCAGCCAGAGGACGGCTTGACCCCCCCACCCCCGCACCGTCCTCCAGGCAGGAGTGCTCATGAGAGAGCTGAACCACGACGCTGAGTGAAGGATGCGCCAGAGGCTCTTGCTGACAGCATGAAGCCTTCCAGGTGATGGCAGGGGGCTGGGGGGCGGTGCCAGCCAGCGGGGGGCGGGGGGCACTGGGCCCCAACGCATGTTCTCCAGCAAGGCCTTATTTTGGGGAGCAAACAACAGAAAAATATTTTTTTTAAATATCAGCTATAAAAAAGAATGTTTTCCAAAAGAGATGGAAAGGGAACTGTAGTTTACTGTTGGGTGCATAATGGTGTTATAATGCAAGTCTTCAGGGCAAGCAGCGGATTGGTGCCCTCGTTCTGCAAATAAGAAGAGAGGCCCAGAGGAGTTTGAGGGCCGGCCAGGGGCCGAGATAGTTCAAGGTCAGGCCTGTTCAATTCTAAAACGCCTGGGTTTTTCCCTGCGGTCTCCAAGCCAGCTCACAGGGAGCTGTGGCCGAAGCATGCCCGCTGCCCGAAGATGCCCGCGTGCTGGCCCCCGGCCCCTGCACGTGTTGCCTTGCACGGCCAAAGGGAATCTGCAGATGCCCAAAAGGTAGGGTCTTGAGGAAGGGAGTTATCTGGATTGCCTGGTTGGCCTGACATAACCACGGAGGTCCTTCAGTGTGACAGAGGGAGGCAGGAGGGCCAGAGTCCGCAGCAAAAGGACAACAGGAGCAGGTGTCAGAGTCAGCGAGAGGCTTGGAGCAGCCACGCTGTTGGCTGTGAGGACAGAGGAAGAGAGCCAGGGCCGAAGGATGCAGGCGGCTTCCCGAAGCAAATTCACCCCCTCCTGAGTCTCTGGAAGGGATGCAGCCCTGCCAATGCCTCGATTTCAACCCACCCACCCAGCGGGGACGCCTAACCCCCAGCTCTGTAAGGCAATCAACAACGAGCTGCTTTAAGCCCCCAGGTTCGTGGTAATTTGTTATGGCAACAACAGTAAACTAATCCAGGCATGTAACAGGTCATGAAGATCACTTCATTATCTGTGCAAAGTGGGTCTGACTGCTGAGAAGATCGTTTAAGTCCCCACAAAAATCAAGAGTCTGGGATTCGTCAGGGCCCACAACACTTTGTAACAAACCATTAGTAATTTAAACTTTCAAAAGAGAAAACAACTTCGTGAAAAAGCACGTTTTAATGTACAAAATGACACACTTGATACATTTAACTTACATAGAAAAATACATCTTGGTAGCAAGAGAAAACTTCAGCCTCCTTTACACGAGGCTGGGCCACCACGATAAGCCTTGAGCCCCCAGGAGGGGCCGTGAGCCCGACCAACACTGGTCAGGGGTCCGACGAGCACCCACGGGACCCACGGCGCGCCTGTTCGCCGCAGGCAGGGGCCGGTGGGCCACGCTCCCGCACCCAAGGGAGTCCCGCAGAAGAACACCCAAGAGGGAGGGGTTGCCAGACCGCTGGCAGGTGAGCCGGTACTTCCGAAGGGAGGGCAGAACTTGGGCTGCGAACGC